CCCCCCCCCCCCCCCCCCCATACCCCCCGACTTCCCTCCCCCACGCGAGGTGGTCCCCAATTTGTTTTTGTTGTGACATGTTTTCGCGGTCATCCCATTGCGTTGCCGGGGGCAGGCATATTGCTTGCATGTATTTGCCGGTGGCCGACCGAGACCTTGTCGCTGACTGCTGACCGCTATGGTCGCAGCAGCAAGCGACTGCATGGGGCTCGAGGGCTCCGCGACTCGCTCGAAGGATGGCTTGTCCCTCCGACACAGATGGAGCGATGCTGCCTGGGAAAGCCACAGCGGCATTTCGACAGTGTTGCAAGAAACTCGGTTGATTTGCGTGACACAGCCACCCTCAGCACGGAATTGCACAGGAATACTGTCATGGACGAGAACAAAAAGCTAGGCCGGAAATTAAGAGTGATTGATTGTTTGATGATGCAGGACGTGGTGGAGGGGGGAAGCCCACACGCTAAGTTCTCGGAGGGACTCGGAAGGCAAACGTGGCGGCTGCACGCCGTATACGGGGTCCAGGACACAGTCCAGGCTGGGCCCGGGCACGACCAAGGGCCACGCACGCAACGGCCTGGTGGTCTGCGACGATCAAAATGCCGTGCCATCGTCTGGACCAGCCTCCAGCGGCACAGCAAGCGGCGCCCCTTGCGCTGGGAGGTAGACGAGATCACGCAAGAAACGGATTGGCTGCACATTCCATCGCCTTCCGACCTCCGTCGCTAGCACGACCAAGCACTGTGGTCCGGCACGCGTAGATTCGGCGTAAGCCGCATGCTTGCAGCCTTCCACGACTCAGCGCCGCACTGTCGATCTGCTGTGCGGGCCAACTGTGACACACCTTTTTGCGACTGCAAGTCTTCCATGCGGCTGCTGTCCCCGCGTAGCTGCAGACAGGCTCACTACCTATGACGACCCTACAGCTACGTCCGGCGGCCCGCGGCTCACGCACGCAGCGGCAAGCGGCTTGCGCCTGCCGGAACTGCGAGCTCAAGCACGTGCTCGAGTGGGGGAGCGTCGCTCTTGCGGGGATGCAGTGGGGCGGGCCAGGCCCGCCGTAACCCGTACTGGCAAACGCCTGCTGCACGGCCACGCGCAGCATGCCCCACCAGCCACGAGACCAGCCCGCTCGAGCCGCCGCGCGCATGGCCGGCGGGGCTCGTTGCGACCAAACCCGGAGCAGGTCGCGCAAGAAGCGCTGGGCCTCAACACTCCCACGGCCGCCAACCTCCGAGCCTAGCACGACGAGCTGCTGTGGCCCGCCGTGGCTACTGCTTGCGACGCTGCGACACTGAGCACAGCGCCGTCAGTGTCGGCGGTGCCCGTTTGTGGTTGCCCTGCCCGATTCAGAGGGGTGACTATAGGGTTGCGTCGCAGCACATCGCGCGGCTTCGCGGCGCTGAGGTCGACGGTCACCGGACGGCACGCCCGGCGCCGTGGTGTGCGCCAACCATCGGGCCCTGCAGCCTCGCGGGCCACATTCACCCATGCGCGCTCAACGATTCTTGCACGGCGTGCCAGCAACCCTCAAGCGCAGTCGGTGCCGTAGTGCAAGCTGCATGGCTTGAGGGGCCATTGTAACTGCGGGCTCGCTCGGCATTGCTGCCAGCCAAGCCCCACCATGCAGACCACCTTGCGAGCGCAGCAGCGCCATGGAAACCGCTTGCCACAACACGCGATCGCGAGAATAAAGATTCCGCGTCCGCGTCGCATGATGTTGCCAGCCGTGCGGCCAGTCTCCCGGGCCTGTGTCGTCGCGCCACGTGGGGCAGCTGTCCCATCCTTCGGCTATTAGGAGGTTACGCGCTGCAGCTGCCTCTCGCAGCAACCAGGCCAGTCCTCCTCTGTGGCTCTGTTCCAAGCCCTCCAGACACCGGGCAGCGGAGTGCGGGAATGCAGCCGGCGCTGCTCGTTCAGCCGACTGCAAACCGAGCCCGCCTAGGGCTGCGAGCGGCCAAGCCTGCCTCGACACCATCCGTCAATCGAACGTCACATGCGTCTTTGCAACACGTGTAACTCAAAAAGCTACTTTCGAGTCAAGCGCAGAATGTGCAATCCGAATAATACCGTCGGAAGAACGATGGCATCGAAGAATCCCAACCGACTCTGGATTGCAACGTGCTTGTGCCGCCAGAAAGCAGAATGTTGGCCATGCGTGGCTCGGGCTTGGATCAAGACTTCCGCGGTCGGAACCTTTGCCACCCAATGCTCAGCAAAGCATCAGTTTAGCACTTCCGAGCATCACTGAGCACCCGCAGTAATTGGCGCGATTGTCATTTGGCCTGCAAACGGTCTCCCCAAACACGACATGGAGCAAGGCCAACAACAATGAAAGGCAGGCGACAAGTGCTAACAAATGCTTGATTATGAAGGCGGCAGCTGCAGCCGGTGGAGTCCTGCTGTTCCAGAAGGTGCAACATGAGTTCAGTGCAACCGAGACATGTTTGCCGCCCACGTCAGCGTTTGGATGCCATCATCGCCCAAAACAAGCAGCGGTTATTATCAGTTCTTTGCAGATGTGCCGTGTCATTGCGATATGTAGAAATGCACAAAAAAAATGCATCCATCTCGAAGTTGCGCCGCAGGAGCTTGCATGTTCTCGGGATGGGAATCGTTTGGTTTGAAGCTTGGTTTGAGTGAAGTAATGTTTTTATATGTGAGCTCTCACGCTACCCGTTACCCGAAACAGTGTCGGATGCAGTATGCCTTATTGTCGTTTCAGTTGAACATGTCGAACACGGTTTGGCCCTTTGCCAGATTGCAACGATCATGCTCGCCTTCATCACTTATTTGGTCGGCTGCAAAGCCACCAAATTGAAACTCCAACTCACGTTCGTGCCTGCTATTAGTTGATCAGGCATGTGGAAGGTCTGATGCTTAAGCAAATATGTCAGCAACTGGCAATTCGTCTTGGGCAGGTGATGGTCAGGGCGCTTGCAGCACGCCAAGCCATCGGCATGCCGCCGATTGTTCAAACGAAGGGCCTCTATCTTACATAGCCTTCACTTGGTCTACAAAGAGATTTGGATGCCAAATGTCAAGTTGCATCGGCACAAAGGGAGAGCGAGCAAGATGCGATCGCTCGGAGCTCCAGACAAGTCATGCATGTTTGGATGTGAAACCTTTCGACTGGACCAGTGCGAGGTGCATTTTGATTGGGAGCCTGGGCAAGTGCTGAATCGAAGGACCGCATGGAGCAAAAACAGCTTTGCGGTTATCGCGGGGTCTTGCATACATTCCGTGGAAACGATCCAGGTTTCGACTGCACTCTCTAGCTGGCGAGGGGACATTCGGCCGAGTATGTTCCCCAGCGAAGTAAAGCGAGCAGGGTGCACAGGATCAATGTCATAGTATACAGATCTGTAAAGATCCTATTGTTCCCTATGTCCTACGGCCTCATATTGTAGACCGAGAGGGACAAATAGTAAGCTTTGCATGATTAACTACGCTATACGTCTATATGCATACATACATACAGAGCTAGATGTTCGCGCAATGTTCCAATTCTTGTGAACATGGCATAGTCGAGGTCTGCCTGGCCACCGACACGACAAAAAAGCGCCAGGCACCGGTTGCCTGTAGCCAGGTAAGGCTTTCAGGTGGTGTAGGGTTCGGGTCGAAGGGTCTGGGAGGTTGGGGAGGTTTAATTTAGGGTTTACGGCACACTGTCGATTGGTGTAGTCCCCGTCAGTGCTGAACCTTCTGATTTGGGAAGGTCGCGATCAAGATCATTCGCGATGTCAAGCAGCAACTTGGCATCAGACCATGGACGAAACAGCGCAGACGGCAGCGCTTAAACCTCGCGTCAGTGGTTCTCACACTCATAGCTGACTACCGCCCCACAGTTTCCACACGACTGCCGTGTGCAATCGGCCACTGGCTGTTGTCAAGACAAACTGTTTGATATTTGCTGAGAGTGGTGTCAGAGCAGAGTGACTGGGTGGTGAAAGCGGCCGGATACAAGATGGACAGGTGTTCGTAGTGTCACAGCGAAACCCTAAGAGAGCCGCAAGACCCCAAACAAGCGACAGGGGAGTGCTGACCGAGGTTTAGAGAGGCCGCGCAAGAGGAGGCAAACATCTTGGCGGCTATTTGTGCAGCTGACCCGTGGGGGCCCGCACCTTGAAACGTATCTGACAAAGGAAGGCTACATGCAACCAAAGATTCGACATCCGAGGCAATTTCGTTGCTGCTGGATGCACACTTCCTTCCTTCACGACTCCAGGCAGGATGCGACAAGAATCGCTCCCTACTCTGACATGCAAAGCCTTTCGACGATGGTGCAAAAACAGAAGATAGGTTCTTCTGCATGGTCCTTGAGCCTTTGGGCTGCAGCCTGTGTGGCCCTTGGGGGTCTCTTGGGGACGCCTCTGCAGCTGCAGTGCCGTGGGGGGGGTTCGTAGGTACGAGTCCATCAAGGCGAACGATTACAGAGGGCCTGGGAGCTCGGTATCACAAATCTGGCGTTATATAATCAGTAGATACTTGTTGCCTCCGAAACTCCAGAAAGCGATGAGCATGTTTCTTCTGCAGGTTTTGGCTTCAGGACATTCAGATCATTGCAAAGCAGCTCTTGTATGCTCCTTCCACAGACGTGACTTCCGTGTTGAGTGTAGGGTGGAGCCGTCGATTGGTGATCCAGGCCCTGAACTTCTTGCATACGAAGATGAGATATACCCATACGGACTTGAAGTCATGGTCTCAGCGTGTCAGTTTCTAGTCTTCTCGACACGGTAAGAGCTGAAGGCCAGAGAACATCATGCTGACCAGCAGGGAGCCTGCAAGGACAGTGTCCACAGATCCTGCCCGGGGAATGATGCTGTTCATGAAGCGTGCCTTGCTTCGAGCGGAGGCCGGAGTGGTTTCCAAGGGAGGAGTTCTGCGAGGTGCCTATGCACCCGTGTGCTGCGTGGGCCGGAGTTTTGCCGATGTTGTCAGGGCGACGAAGTGCTGCGCAAGAAGAAAAGGAGCAAACTAGCAGCAAGCAGCTGTTGTTCTTGCTAGTCGCTCCCGCAACTTGGTGGCTGAGGTCGCCGCCAGTACCTGCGACCACGTAGTGTTGGTGCCTGAGGGCAACCTGCAGAAACAAGCGAAGGAAACGCAACAAAACCACAGCTGGGATGCCGGCAGGCGGGCATCAAGATCATCGACTTTGGTACTAAGCTCGGGCTCGACAAGTGCCAGCTGCGAGCGCCGCGGTCTTGAAGCCTGCAGGCAACACGATTCGGGAGCATGATCGCCGCGAAACCATCATCAACACGCGGCAGCACCGGGCTGAGCGTCGGGTGGTGATGTGCTCTGTTTCATGGCATGGTTTGTTGTCCTGGTCCATGTGCTCAGGTATCGGGGGCCTGAGGTGCCGGTTTTTGCAAGGGTGTTGACAGGGTTTGCCGCAACGAAGTGTTGGGGTGACATACCAGCTTGTGGCAGTCTGCAGGTGATTTTGGAGCTTGGCTGGGATGAGAAGTCCGATCTTTGGCGAGGAGCTTGGCGATTTTGAGCGTGCCTTCGCTTCGCTTTGCCCAGAGGCCCGGCTTCTTTGGCGGCTCGCTTTAGTAGGAAGCTTTGGGCTTTGCCCCGGCCCCCGGGGCGTTGAAAAGCCATGGCGTGCTGTGAATGCTGGGAGGGTCTGACGGGCCAGAAGGTGGGACGCTGCAATCTGCCACAGATCAGGAGATGTGCGGACCAGCTGGTAGCAATGCCGTGCGCACAGGAGTCCTTGCAACTCGTTCCTCGCAAGGCGCGGTGTTCTGCACCCTGATCAGCCTTGAACGCCTCATGTGATTGCGGTATGGGGACAGCATGTAGAACCCGCATAAAGTATGGTGAGGGTTGCGTGCTGCTTGCATGTAGCGGTGCACCCTTCGCCTGCTATGCGAGAGAAGGAGCCATCGCCAGACGCTTACCGAACCTCTAGCAGCACATCATGCTGTGATCCAGCAGTCGGATTGCCTTCCAATGCTTTCAAATCTTCGAAACCACTCAAGCTCGCGATCGGCTTCTAGCCGGCCTTGTGTTTGACCACCTTTTCCCGCTTGCATTTGCCACAATGCATTGACAAACCATGCGCAAGGACTGCTGGGCCTCTTGTCCTCGTTAGATCACGCGGTGCCAGCAGTACCAACCACCGCCAAGCAAAGAAGGACCCTAAACCCTAAAACCCTAAAACCCTAAATCCTAAACCCTAACCCCTAAAGCCCTAAACCCCTAAACCCTCCATGACATTTCCACGACACCTGTTGTGCAGGTCCCGATCTCGGCACTGATCCTCGGCACGGGGCCTCTTGGCTGTGGCTGGGCGGGCGACGTCTCAGAAGGGGAGGCGGAAGCGACCATTCTGCAGGACGGACCGGGCCGCGCATGCCTTTTCGTTCTATGGTGAATGTACAACTGAAGGCCTTATCGCTGGGCATTCGCTATGTGGACACGGCTCCGTGGCAACTTGGCGGACTTTCCGGGATGAGCGCCGGAGGATGTATTGAGTATGATTTGCCGTGACCCCCTTGTTAGGCTGAACTCAGTCATCCATGTGAGTGGTAAGTTCGCAGGCTCAATTGGTTCAGTTCCGAAATACCACGGGTTTGAATGTCGTCTGGGTCGTGGCCGGCGTCGTGCCGACAACGACCAGCAAACATGTGAGATTGTGAGCCAAGTGTCGGCTTTGGTGTGAAGGGAGGGCCAGGCGGGAGTGTCGTGATTTCACACACCCAAGCAAGGGCGTTTCATCACCCTGTCGCGCTACTCACCAGGTATGGGGGCGGCCTGTCTGAGCAGCGAGTTGGCAAAGCCTTGTCTACGGCCCAGGATCGCTTCTTGTGCAATCCAAACGCTGCTTTGCTGAGTTGTCGGGCATGCGCAGACGAATCTCCTGAAGGATAAAGTTGTCCTGTCGACGAAAGTTGGCCGCTCCCCGGATGCAGTTGGGGCCTAAGCCGACCATGGCCTCTCTCAGCAAGCAGTGGGCTCAGGATTCATCGTGGCCAAGCAGGAGTCTTCTGCATATGGACATCGCGTGGAGACTGGCTACGTGCCTGAGCGGCAGCCGATGTTTCACTGTCGGTTCACTTTGTGTCCGACCGATGTTGGAACATACCAAGGACTTTCTGACTGATGGGTACCACCAAAACATCCCCGTTTGGGACTACCGCAAGGCCACAGCCTCGCGTATTTCTCAATAGCGTTACAAAACCCTGTTTTGCTTTAGGAGGGAATTGAAGAGAGCTTTCGACAATCGAGACAAAGGCTGGGCAGCACAGGCCTCAGCATGAACCTATAGAAACAGGGTTCAAGACCAGACCGGAAGAATCAGGAAGCTTCATCGATTGCCTCCGGATACATGATGCCGAAGATTCTGAGAGATGGGAGGAAGCATGCAGTACAGGACTTAGCTAGAAACTGCCTGCATCTCTCCATGCTGCTTCTCCCTCCCAACCTTTTCTTGGGGCCCAGGCCACGACGGTGCCGTGAACACTCTGGTTTCTTTGCGGAGTAGAGGTCATGAGCTGCAACAGCTCTCGCAAGTGCGGCCCTGACTTGCCATGGGCAGGTGAGATTGGACAAGTCAGCTTAGGAGCCTCGGCTATATGCAGCTGTGGTTTCCAAGAGTCGCTGTAGCTTTCGATGGGCGTTGAGCTGTGGCAACGTACCGCGGCAGGATTCAACAAGGTTGACTTCTTGATGTGTCTTGGCGAAGCATGAATGTGCACAATGTCCATGCCTCGGAGTGTCTGCATGTGCTGTCGGACTCGCGGCAGTGCAAAGGAAGACAATCCTGAGATTTCCTGTTGGAACCTTTGCTTCTCGATTGCAGCTGCGATGCTACTTTGCTAGTGGGCTCATTTGAAAGAGGGCGGGACTGAGCTAGGGCAGGTAGTGGAAGAGATACAAAGAGTCGAAGGCCTTGCCGCGATGGATTCTACAGGATTTTCAGTGTCGGGGGACGGGCGAACGGGCCAAGCAAGACAAGGATACCATCTGCGAGTGTCAGCTCCAGAAAGCCCATGCATTCCAACCTCAGCTGACTTGTGGAGGGCTGGCGAGGGAGGCAAGCTCCGAAAACAACGCTGTCCTCACTGGCAAGCAGCTTTGCCAACAGTTGGCTGCGCTTGCTTGTCCTGGCGCACCTCAGCGGTCAAGCGGAGGAGCGCAGGCAACAGAACCTCTACGCCGCTGTGTGCGGGACCGCATACGAGATATACGAGCAGCCCCAGGTACTCACTAATACAAGTTTTGTCATTCATTGGGACCCCTCGTGGGGAAAGGAAGGGTAGATGGTATGACCTGGTATGACCCAAGACACAATCTTTGCATTGCTCTTTCGAGCCGTTATTTGCGGCACAGGCGCAGGCCGCAAGCTGGAACACATCACAGCAACGGTGAGGCCGCTGGTTTGGACCAGTCTGACGCATCGGCGCGACCACGATCATGGTCGTGGCACCAGCACATTAGCACCAGCACTAGCACTAGCGCCACCACAGAACACCACCACCACGACTACCACAACAACAACAACAACAACAACTACTACTACTACTACTACTACTTGTGCTTGCTTGCTTGGCGGAGATGATGCAGAGCCTCGACGTGCCCGAAACCTCGTCAGTTGTCAAGACCCTGCAGTGTTGTCGTCGACGTGCCAAGTGGGTGACAAAAACTACTACTATTACACTACCACCACCACCACTACCACAACGACGACGACGACGACGAC